TGTGTGTGTGTGTGTGTGTGTGTGTGAGTGTGAGTGTGAGTGTGAGTGTGTGTGTGAGTGTGTGTGTGTGTGTGTGTGTGTGTGTGTGTGTGTGTGTGTGTGTGTGTGAGTGTGAGTGTGTGAGTGTGAGTGTGTGTGTATAAATGGCATTTGACACACAGACACGCAGCACTGAGTCTGGCTGTGACATATATATTCTATACACGCCACACTGAGAGCCCCTAAACTCAGTGATTGAGAATAAAGAGGCTCTAAATGTGCTGAAAGCCGCCTGGATTCTTGAGCCGGGCCAAATGTGGATAATGAGCGGGTTTCGTTAACTGAGCGGAAACGGGAGTTCAATCTCTGAAATTCTCTGAAAGCAAACACACACACAGAGAGACTGAGTTTGTGTTTATTTGCGTGAGCGGCTACAGTGAGATTCACAGAATAATGTGTAATTTGTCCTCAGAGCGAGGATATGAGACAGAGACACACACACACAGATGATGGAGTCGGATGAGTCTTCGTTCTGCTCATATACTGTACTGCTCACACCTAACTTAAAGCCTTTGTTCAAGATTCAAGAGTTCATTGTCATAATAAACAGTCTGTTGCACCATACAATGAAAGTCTTGCTCTGTGAATCCTCTCAGCAGCCTCGGACATAAATAAGTTAAAGGACATTAGAATAGGAGACACAATACGTGAATTACACATTTACAATTACCAAAATTGCAATATTACTAATAGGGCAGAATGCAAGAAACAACATTATTGCATGTATAAAGTAACTGTTACTTATTTGAAAAAGTAACTCAGACGTTTTGTAAATGTAAAAGTACTGTGTTACTTCAGTAGTTACTGGGGAAAACTAATCTGATCACATAACTTGCTGTACTTGTAATGTGGTACTACATACACACTGATCTTATTTCCAGCGTTCACAGTGTCACAAAGAGAGGAAAATGATGCCATTTGTGCCTGGAAGTGCCAATAAAACATCTAATAAGTTACTAAGTTACTGCGAGGGAAAATCCTGTTTTCTACAGGTCTGCTCTCCTCCAAATCTGTGTCCAGATGACTGCTGAACTGACCCTTCTAAAACTGTTACCCACAATCCTGAATGTGTGCTTACAGCTGTGCAGAATAATAATAATTCAACATAATTGAACCATCTGTCTTTCAAGTATACCTTGGGTCAATACTGTTACATTCAACATGTTATGAGGATAAAGATCAGTATAAAATCAAATATCGTTGCACCACATCACGTTATTTACTAGGGTTTTTCTCATTGAAATCCTGAATTTGATGACGCCAATGCAAGTATAGCGTAATGAAATACTGAGGCCGAGATTCTGACCTCTGTTTGAACACGATTATACAGACTTTCAGACTTTTCGTGTAAGTCATTTAAATATGACATCAGGACAACGAAAAATGTTCTTGTTCAAGAGGAATATCATGCATTTCAGAAGAAAACAAAGAATTGCAATAAAAGACCCATTAAGATACAATTTGTTTTTAAATTATATTTAACCCATTAAATATAGTGGTGATGAATAAGAACATACACATTGACTGATATTATGATTAAAATAATTCCTAAAAAAAAAAAAGATTTGTCTTGAAACTGATTTTGCATCACACCCTAAACAGTAAAATCTAATGTGAATAATATATTATCAATGCTTTGTCAATACATTACTGTCATGCCAATAACGCACATTTGAATTGCATTGAATTGAGTAGATATCGAGGGAATCAGGTTCGGTTCACAGACTCTCGAGAGCTGAGACTCCATTCTGCTAAAAACATTACAAGCTAAAAACAGACAAACACTCACTGTAATTATCGGAAGTTTGCAGACATACGGCTCAGAAATACCCTAACAATCTATACAGCTGCTTTTATATAAAGCACACACACACACACTCGCTGTGGTCTGATGGGTTTGTTTGTGGTGTCTGCTGTGATGGTGGATACCAGACCTGAGGCCACATCAGGCCACTGCACCACATGAACTCTGTCTCTCTCTCTCTCTCTCTCTCTCTCACTCTCTGTCTGTCTGTCTGTTATCAGACGTGCTGGTCATGAATTCTCTTCATTTGCCTCTGCATGATCTTGATCTGCAGCTTTTGCGCTGGGCAAACTTGGGAAAGAGCTGCACACATAACATCCATCCACACAACACTGAAAATTATAAGGTGGATGGATGGTATTGAGTGCTGCCGTATTTCTCTGAAGAACTTTCCACAGAGACACGTCCGCTGAACAAACCCAGTGGACTAAACAAAACTTAGACGTGGAAATTACACAGCAGACCGATGATGTGCTCACACACACACACACACACACACACACACACACACACACACACACACA